TTATACATTTTCTGACAAATCAATGATTTTGGTGCACGTGTAGCTGAAAAATAGTGCTACAGGTCACATTCCTGCTGTTTGGCAGCAAGTAGCAGGCTCAGCACTGCTGGAATCAATGATATTTTCATTCGTGTGAGCCAGCCTGAAACGTGTCTTTGTTCATATCAAAATATGTTAGAAACAAAAATGCAAGGAAAAAGGAATGTGTTCAACAAACCAGCTGAACAGTAGTTGAGGGAAGCGTTTCTGCTGTAATTGTTTACAGTGGAACGTATCTTAGTGGCTTTTCATACATTCACTGCCACAGAGAAGTTTTTTTGAAAGTCATGTAGTGTTAGGATCTTTGGAAAGATAACTTGTTTCCCAATCAAGTACACAATAGTCTTTTATAATTTGTATAAACTATGGGTTTTTTTTGTATACAGGTAGGATGACATTCTCTTTTGATATTTGGATACTTCAAAATCTGATGTCCAGTGCTACGCACAAGCCTAGGGCCATCGAGTATCTTTAATTGGGAAGAGTGGATGCAATTTTGAAGTGGAGCCACTCAAAATCAATGAACACTTTTGAAAATGTTTGATCGTAACGTGGATGATTGAACCAACAAGAGCTTCAACTGTAGCTTTTCTCAAGAGTTTCAAGATACGAGGAGAGGGGTTTTTTTGTGTCATTTGGATGGATCAGTGCTTGCTTGACAAAATCTGGATCTTACACAAATTCCTTGCCGGTCTAGCTGCCTGGTTGAGAAATCTGGCTGTTGTCTGCTTCCTCCGTCTGTCTTCAATTCCCCTGCCAGCCATGGAAAAGCAGGACAGAAGGGGGCTGCACAGCTCAGTTTCTAGGTCAGAAATCAGGAATTCTTGTTTCCCTTTTAGATCTGTTGGCACATTTCCCAACTTTCCTGTGTGTCGTTTTTCCAGCCTGTAGAATACAGATGTTCCACTGGTAACAATTTTTTGAGTTTTGAAAAGTTTTGGGTCTAAAAACCTGTGCATAGCTGCTGCAGTGTCAACTGCTGGGTAAGCAGGGGAGAGGCAATGTGCCCAGATCTAGTTGTTGTGTTTGCAGAAGAGCTAGGGAAACAGGGTCTGCAGATTTCACATATGAGAATCACAGAATAGGTCAGGTTGGAAGGGACCACAGTGGGTCATCTGGTCCAACCTCCCTGCTCAAGCATGGTCATCCTAGAGCACATGGCACAGGATTGTGTCCAGACAGTTCTTAAATATCTCCGTGATGGAGACTCCACAACCCCTCTGGCCTCTGTTCCAGTACATGGTTACCTGCACAGTAAGGAAGTTCTTCCTCAAGTTGAGGTGGAACTTTCTGAGCAGCAGTTTCTGCCTGTTGCCTCTTGTCCTATTGCTTGGCAGCACTGAGAAGAGCCTGGCTTCATCTTCTTGGCACCTCCTCCCTTTAGATATTTATACACATTAATAAGGTCCCCCCTCTGTCATCTCTTTTCAAGGCTGAACAGGCCCAACTCCCTCAGACTTTCAAATGACCCAAGACATATTGTGGGCTTGTTTTCTCTGCTAATTCTGACCTGTCAAGGTTGTTCTCTGAGTGCTGCCCTTTCCACGCCCACTCTAGTTTCTGAAGAAGCCCTGAATTAATCTGTCTGGGCTTTTTTGTTTTACTGCTACACCCACAGTACTGAAAAATCCCAACCGACCACAAACCAAAACCAAACTCTGGGGTACCATAGGAATGTAAGTCCTAGAAAGCCTTTAACATGCCTTGTACAATACTACTCTTTGATATACAAATGGTCGTGCCTTGTAAGGTATGAAGTGATTATAATTACCGACATTCCCAATATTGAGGAAAAAACTGTTGTCCTACTCTTACTGTCTACAGTGAGTTACTGGTGTGTAGGATGTGCTCGATTTAACTGTGCTGATCATTCTCCACCACACTGTCTTACACAACATCTTCCCTTTGTCACTGGAAAAATTATTTCTGAAGTAGTCATTTACAAAGTTTTGCAAAATACCAGAATCACTATTATATCAAGAGTGCATTTTCTAATTCATTAACATAGAATCATTGAAATGTTGACCAAAAAGGGCCTTTAAAATGGTCTATGTACTTGCTGTATGCCAGTATGCTGTGCATATTAGGTACACCTGTATTCAAAGTAATGCCCGATCACTTTCTGATGTGTTTATTAAAATATCTAGTGAGGAAGAACTATGTGTATTTTTTTCTTTGATAGCAAGAAAATTTCCCCTCTTATCCAGTTGAACTAATCTCTGTTGGAAAGTAAATTTATTTCTACTCATTCTCCTTTATAGTACATGGGAAACAATTAATACCATCCTTTACAGTAACCAAAGATAAACTCAGTTAAAATAGTTTTTATTTCAACCCCTCTGTATATAATATGCTGTATTTTCTTCTGTATGTAACTTTCACTCCTGTTTTATAGACTCCTCACCTGAGATCTTATTTGTGCTGGATAAACCAGAATAGAACTGAGTAATTGCATCTCACAGTATTGCTACACCATCTGAAAATGAGACTTCCCTTTCTCTGCAGCACCATTCCATTTGCTGGCTGGTCCTATCCCACCCGGTTTTATTTTCTCATACTGCTACTGTGGCTAGTAGCTGTATCCAGCTGTATCAAGAAGTGACTTCCTGGTTTCCACAGTATGAACTGCAAGTTGCTAATTCATTCAATGTTAGTTGCTGATTGAAGTAGCAACTTTGATGCTCGGCTATCTGGGGACAAGGTTACTTGCCACGGGCCGGAGAATTAGCAGTGTTGCGTGGCTATTTCTGCAAATGTGGAACTCACTCAGAAATCTTCACAGTGTTCCTGGCAGCACTCAACACCACGGGCACGTCCTTCCCTCACATGCACTTTCAGGTTGCTGACTACCTCAGAGCTTGGCTCTTGTGTCCATTCAGCTCAGCACAGTAAAGGCTGAGCTGAATATAGACAAGGCTTTTACCTTTTGCTGTGACCCCTGTGTGAAGTTCAAGAAGTTCAACAGATGGGTGACTGGGTTGACAGCAGAGGAGGAGAGATGCTGGGGTTGTGCCCTGGAGCCAAAGCTGTGTGCCACCTCCCTTAATCTGATTACAGTTTTCCACTCACAGCCTAATGTGACCTGTCTTGTGCCATGTTTTCGGTAAACCGTAGACTCACAGGTAGGCAGTGTTGAGCTGCTGTCATCTCCCCACTCTCTCCCCTGGCATGACAGGCTAAGAAAGTTGGGGCTGTTCAGCCTGGAGAAGAAAAGGTTGCATGGAGACCTCACATCAACCTTCCAGTATCTGAAGGGGGCCCACAGGTAGGAAGCCAGAGAGGGTCAGGAGCTGTAGGGATAGGGCAACTGAAAGAGAGAAAATTTAGGTTATATATATGGAAGAAGTTCTTTACTGTGAGGGTAGTGAGGTGCTGGAACAAGTTGCCCAGAGAAGTAGTGGATGCCCCAACCCTGGCAATGTTCAAGACCAAGGCTGGATAAGGCCTTTAGCAACCTGATCTAGTGGGAGATGTCCCTGCCCATGGCAGGGGGGGTTGGGACTAGATGATCTTTATGAATCTATGAGTCTTTGCAAGATTTGCCAGTGTCTGCAGTCAGGTGGGTTACATGGTCAAGATGAAGGGGTGGGTGGCATCTGGCAACATTTTACACCAAACAAGAGAAAAAGATGGGAACATGAGATGTACTTCAAGAAACGAGAGAGGCGACATTTTGTGCAAAGACAGGAGATGCAGAGAACAAATGAAGACTTAGATTTGAGACCTAGCAAATGAGAGAGGAACAGGAAGGGTTTTAGAGTGCCATTAGCAAAAGCTAGGGAGACCAGCAGGCAGTAATCACTGCTTTGGGTCAACCTTGCTGGAATGGGTAAACTTCTCATGGCTGGTGAGTGTCTGCTGTTGATATGGTGTCTGTACGGTCCAGTCTGTCATGAGGGTGGAATGCTTTCATTCTGCCTGTATGCCCTCTAATCCCATCTGCCAAAAATAACAGCAAAATACAAAATGAAATCACAGAATAGGTCAAGTTGGAAGGGACCACAGTGGGTCATCTGGTCCAATCTCCCTGCTCAAACATGGTCATCCCAGAGCACATGGTACAGGATTGTGTCCAGACAGTTCTTAAATATCTCCACAACCTCTCTAGGTAATCTGTTTCAGTGTGAGGTCACTTGCACAGTAAAGAAGTTTTTCCTCAAATTCAGATGGAACTTACACCAATTTCTGCCTGTTGCCTCTTGTCCTATTGCTTGGCAGCACCGAGAGGAGCCTGGCTCCATCCTCTTGGCACTCCCCTTTAGATATTTATACACAAAGGCAAACAGTAGCAATAGCAAGTTCCACAAAACACCAAGGATACAGCCCCCCACCTCGCTGGGTTAGCAGCTTTACCAGGCACGCCCTTTTCTCCCGCCTCACTGGATGTTACTGGGACAGCCTGTACCTGTTGTGATGGCGGGCGGGAGATGCAGAACCTGCTTTTGCAGAGATACATCACTTGGTGCGTGTTGGTGTACAAATATACCCGTGCAGATCCGTGGTCGGCAGCGCTCTCAGTGCCACCCACCCGGTGCCTGTTAGTCACAGAAAGTCACAGCATCACAGAATCTGCTGAGTTGGAAGGGACCCTCAGGATCACCGAACCCACCTCCTGGGCCTAAACAGGACGCCCCAGGAATACCCCTGAGTGAAACCTGGTGACAATTTAAGAGCGACAAGCGGAGACTGCGGTGTTTTTAGGGTCGGCTCCTTTAGAGGCACAGGGTCACAGCTGCTCCCGGAATCCCAGTGCTGGCTGGGCGGGAGAGCTGTGCCTCCCTGGAGGGAGGAAACCCAGCCGGGCGCCGTTTCCCGGGAAGCAGGGATGGCGCTGCGTGTGCCCGGTTTCCCGGGAAGCAGGGATGGCGCTGCGTGTGCCCGGTTTCCCGGGAAGCAGGGATGGCGCTGTGTGTGCCCGCAGCCCTGCCGGTCGCTCGGCTATGACGTGCCCTGCTCGCACCATATCCGGGCGGGCCATCCCGGCCTGTCCTGCCCGCTGGCCTGGCCTTCCCGGCGCTTCCCATGGCCCTGCCCGCCGTCCACAGGTGCTTCCAAGTGAGTGCGGCCCTCGGCGGTGCCGGCCCGGCTCCCCGGGGACCCGTCCCGTCCCGTCCCGGGCAGGGCGCCGGGAGCGGCCGGGTTTGCCCCTGCGGGCAGAGCTCTGGCTTAGGGCGGAACGCGGGGTCTCGATGCCTTCTGCTCTTCCTTCTGCTGGCACATAGCATCTCTTTTGCTTAATTCCCTCCGGGTTAAGGCAGTAGGGTTATAGTTTACATCTATATCTACACACACACACACACACATATATATATACACTTTATATTTATATATATTAATGCTGTATATATTGAAGTATAATATATTAATATATAACTATTATAGTATAGTTATATATAGCCATATATATTATATAGTCTATATAAATATATAATATTATATATAATTATATTTTATATATCCTATGCAATAATATGTGCTACACATACTATACATTACTATATGTAATATAGTAATAGGTATTACTACATGTAATATAGTAATAACTAATATGTTTATATATTAGTTATTGCTATATATAATATGTATTTCTGTGTGTATTGTCTGCATGAGTGCATACTGCTGGTTCTGAAGTTCTGCTGGTGTCGCTGCAGCTTAGTCCTTTGGCTCCGGTAATAACACAAACACGAGCTCAGTTGTGGAGCTGATGCTTGTGGTTTAGCACTGTAACTGAAAGCTCCGATGTCTTGTCCCTTTGTGATTAATTTTAAATACAAAGCCAGTTCCCTACGTTCCTTAACGAGTGACGAACTTATATCAGAAACTTTTAATATGCGTGTTAAGGAAGCTTTGTTTTAGTCGAATTTTCATAAAATTTGAAGCTGATTGTTTTTCCTGCTATTTTTTTTTTCCTTTATATGTTTGTATAGTTTAAGAGAAATGTAGTAAAGCTTTTGGGAGAGAATTTGAATGTTATCAGCCTACTTAATACCCGATTTAAAAATGTTCCTTGATTTTCCTTTATTTTTTTTTCAAATTCTCTTCCTTTTCAGCTCAATGATGAAAATGAACAGTTAGTCAAGAAGGTGAAAAAACTACACATAAAAAATAAGGAGCTAGAAAAGAATCTGGGACAGATCCAAGAAAAATTGCATCTGCAGCAGTTAATGCATGACTATGGCACAAGCAGAGAGTAAGAAGTGTCAAATGTTTCTTTTTGCATCAAAAGAAGTGCAACATTTCAGGACTTTTACCTTCATGTTTTCAGATGAACTAGACCTTATCTAGTCTGCATAATTTGAGGGCCATCTGTGACCAGGATGGTGGAGGTAGAAGATGCTTGAAGCATGTCAAGGAACAAAGGCTGTCTGGGGCAACTTGTAAAAAATTCATTATTGTAGTGAAAAAACCAGTTTTACTATCAGCAAGTAATACACATGCTTAGCCAATTAATACACATGCTTAGCCAATGTGCTCTCTGTCTAACTGCAAAGACTTACACGTTTATTTTTCCACCAAACAATAGTAAGATAGTTAAATTGCATCAGTGCTATTTAAAAGGTTTAGAAACTGAGATCTTTGGACCTGGATAATTGTAGTACTGGTAGTTTGGAAAAAGTCCTGCCAGGATTTAAGTACTGGTCTGCAAAAATCCTCCAAGTTAAAATTTTGGCGTGTTTATGATCCTGTGTGGAAACCTGTACTGTAAAATCAAACTGAAAAGTAACTTGGACTTTTTCAGTTGTTTTCTTTGATCCAATTGAACTGTAAAATCCAATTTTGTTAAGCTGTTGTTTCTCTTTCAATTAAGTGTTCAGGTTCAAACAGAAACCCATTTATGGCGTACGGGTGGAGACAGCAAGGATTTTGTTCTAGAGGGTGACAGTGTCAGGTGAGTTCTTGGAAGTTTCTTCTTCACAGTAGTAAATGTTCTTCTCTGTAGGTTAGAATATGTTACGATTAAGTCAGTGAAATTTTTAGCTTAGGGAGGTAAGGTGGCTTTCAGCCTTTGAAACAATGGAAAATCATTTGCATTTTAAAAGGATTTACAAAAACCTTAGATAAAACTTGAAAATAGCACTAAAGAAAGAACAAAATGGATTTCTTTCTCAAATCTTTAATTGAGAAACATTTAACGAGCCAGGAAGCTCCTTTATGTGTGTGTAGATTTTTTTTAAGATTTCATAGATTCTTTTAACCACCTTCTATTTTGTGGAAGCTTTCTTAGCTCGTTTTGTATAGCTCAGTTTTATGTGTATATAAAATTTATAGGCTGGTACTGTTTTCAAAATACGCCAGAGAAGTGACTCTGCTCTTCAGTCTGATTATTTTTAGTGTTGAGCCACTACTTATTGCAGTTTGACAATTAATGCTAGAATTAAACCCTTGTAACTGCTTTTCTGATGCAGAGGATACATTTTTTTATTTGATAAAATATACATTGAAACATTTTAACAACTAGGCAAGTGACATAAAAGATTGTTCCATCCTTCTGTGACTTGACTATAAAATAAACAGGCTGCTCCATCTCTTCTAAGGCTACTTTTTGTTCACTTACATAAAGGGCTGTGGATCTTACACAGATTGAGGCAGTGCCTCCTGCTTTTTTGCCACGCACCCTATTTTTATTAATTCCTTTAGGTGTCTGTAGAAGGCCCTTTTAAAATTTTGTTTTGTTTTGTTTTTTTGGTGTGTGTTTTTGTTTTGTTTTGTTTTGTTAAATACCTTTTCAGTGTACCAAACTCTCTTTGGAAACTACATAGGAAGGCTGGGTGACGGGCTCTGGCTGGGAATTGAGTATCTAGTTAGATGCTTATGGGGAAGAAGTCCAAGTTAGTCTTTGAATCAAGTGCTAGACCTGCTCTATATTAGGATGCAGTTAATCTGACCTACCTTTTTTTCCTAGCATCTGTTTGTATGTTGTTTTACGAAACTGTACTGTACTGCAGTATTGCTCACCCTGTTTGTAGTGCGCAGTCATGACTTTATTTGAATGCCAGCTCTAATCTGAATTATTAAAAAAATAGGAAAAATGTCATCAGTTATGTTCTGGCCCCCATATGTGGAGACTGAATGCTATATAATATGGCAGGAAATTAGTGTAGCAGAAATCTATGCAAGATGATATCAAAGAGAATGATAACATCCCAAATCTGTTTATTTTACAATGATTTTGCTCACTCACCCATTTTCTCATAGATTTCACTCACATCCTTACAGCTTGGAATCAGTGAGATATTTTGTGCAACACAGAGAGCTGGGCACTCGGCCTCATGTGTCCTCCTTATGGGTTCTAGATTGGTGGCAAGAAGTTAGTTCCTGGACAAATGTTTTAAAATCCTTTAGGAGTGTCCTTGTGCTATTCCTGTTGTGCTAACAGGGAGAGGAATTATGTATGTGACACACTGCAGTCATTGCCACCCTCCCGTTTCTGGTGTATAGGTCTTGCATCAAATGGTGATTTTCACTGAGGTTTAATCAGAGTGTGGTCATCTGTGCTGGACACAACAGGGTCTTCAGTCTAGCTGAGTGAAAGGGATTCTTTGCCATCCATACAGACCATTCTTTTAACTTGCTTTGCTTTATTTTCTGGTGCTTTCTCTTTCCGTGTTGACAGTCACACTTAATTTATGCCCATCTTAAATATTTCTGTTACAAGTCTCTGCAGTGCAGCTACAGCCCAAGTGGTCTCTATGGGGTGTCTCTAATGCTTCTACCATAAAGGATGCGTGTTTTTTGGCTTTTGTGTTTTACTGCAATTTATGCATTTCTTCTGTTTTAGACTGCTTCGTATGTACAATGAGCTACAGAAACGTTACGTTAGAGAAAGCAAAAAAAACAAGGAGCAAAGTGAAGCAATTAAAAATCTAACTGTAAGTAGAATTTGTAGGAGGTGGTATCAAATAGCCAAGCATAAGCTTTTAGGGAGACTGAAAAGCGTTTCTTACATTTGTGAAATGAGGTCATGCTTTTCTTGATACACTTATTTTTGTTTCTCATGACATTGAGATAAAGGGGAGCCTGTAGTTCCCTTTGAAAATGGACTTTTGTCACTGGTATGTCTGTAACAGAAAACTGTCTCCCCTTTCCTTGCTTTTTTATTTTACTCATCTACCTGCTCATCCTTTTAACTGTGTACATCTTTTGACCTGTCTTGCACCATCCCTGATATTTTAATGTTTGTGTCAAGAGCTGATTTATTTCAGAAATACAGCAGTAGCAAACCAAATGGAGGCACATAGTCTTCTTTCAGGTCGCAGGACCTGTGGGCTTGCTGTGCAAAGAGACTAATATCATAACTGAAGTGAAGGTAGGGTTGTGTGACCAGGAGTGGTTCTAGTGGTTGTAGTGGTTCAAGTGGGTATTGCCTCTTTGGGCAATTGATCAAGCAAATGATCAAGCATTATGGTTGACCAGTCTCATTTCCTCATCTGTGCTTTATTTGTTTGTGAATTAGTATTCATTATAATTTGGATTATATGTACTTTTTCTTAGAAGCTAGGAATTGCTGCCATGAAGGTATACTTTGCTGTAAGGGAAGGTTTAATACCCTTGTGCAGTGATTTTATTCTGGAACAGGTTGCCCAGAGAAGTTGTGGATGCCCCATCCCTGGAAGTGTTCAAGGCCATTTTGGATGGGGCTTTGAGCAACCTGGTCTAGTGGAAGGGGTCTCTGCCCATGGCAGGGAGTTTGGAACAAGAAGGTCTTTAAGATTCCTTCCAACCCAAACCCTTCTGTGGTTACGTGATTGTCTTGTGAGCATGTGCTCACAGATTTTTTTAAAACACTTGATGTATGCAAAGCTTCAATTGCTGTGAAGCTTTTTCTTTTTTCTGCTTTCAGACCCTTTGGATGAATGTAGTTTTAAGTCAGCAAATGAAAGCTCTAGGTTTGCATTCAGGATGTGTTTCCAGTGGTATTCAGTTGAACTGTGTTTTTTCTATGCATTTTAAAAAAATTGTTCTCAACAGATTAAAATTCATGATCTAGAGCATAATCTTCAAGAGCAGAGGCAAAGAATTGAGCAACTGGAATGTAAAAAGGTTTCTTGGAAAACTAGTGCTGTTTCTGGAAAAAGAAGTCGAACCTCAGAGGGAGGAATAACTTCCCACAGGGACATTTCTGAAGAGAAGGAATCCTGTTGCAGTAAATATTTAGGTAATGGTGCCATTAATTCTGATGATGTTCCTTCCAGTGTGCTCGTCAGAGAGAATGCATTTCATTTCTGACCTAGAGGCCATTCTTCAGCCAACATTATCTAAAATCTTTTTTCATTTTTGAAAACACATTATGTAAAAATGGCATCTTGTAGTCTAGGATTCAGCCTTGCATTTGTTTGTGATTAAATGTTTGCTGTTTTCTTTTTCTGGAATTGGTAGGTTGGTACAATCATGGGTAGGAGTGTGTGGCTGTATTTAGAGCTATTTATTCTTTACTCTGGTAAGATGTATCTATGGAGATCTATTATTAATAATGTTTGCTGCGCCATTCTTTGATTTTCAGACACTGATATACAAAAGAATCTGGGTTTAGCCCTAAAATCTTGGACAAACCTAGGTAATACTGATTTCAACACGTTCTTCCTCACAAGTAAATGCACAAGTTAAGGTGCAATCCTGTTCCACTTCAAAGCATAGAAAAGAGGTGGAAAAGATCTTATAATGTAGGCATAATTTTCAGAAAATGTGCTGTCAGCAAGGGCTAATGTGACCCTCTTGTAAGTCAGAAAAAGGTAATCGAAGCGTGTGATGTGTGTTTTGTGGATTTTAAAGTAAAATAATCCCCCATTCTAAGAATCTGGCAAATTCATGTTATCCACTTGGCAGATCCTGCTATCTTTCATAGTACTTGGGTATGTTCTGGGCCAATTCTTAAGAATAAATCACTTTATGAAAAAGGTACTTTAATTTTCTAATATCACAAAAGGTAGGCAGCTCTTTAGCTGTCATATGATTCATATGAGTGGGAGGTTGACTGTGTTGGTTGAAGTCTACATTTTTTTATTTGAATATAGAGCTATTGTTGAAGGAGATTAAAAAGCTGAAGAAAGAAAATGGAAAGTTGTCTGCAGAAAAGAAAGCACTAAAAAATGAATTAGCTGGATTAGACAAGGTAATTTATTTTAAGACAAGTTTAACAGTAAATGATTTTTGAAAAAACTAACTTTTCTGCCTGAACCAAAACACCTTTAGGCTGAACACATGTTGTTATCAAGCAAAATACATAAAAAAGTCAGTGTAGAGCATTCTGAGAGAGATGGAAGTGAATGGCTCCTTGAAACATTCATGTCCTACAGTGCTGCTTGACTAGGGAAGAGGAATAATGCAAATTTAATTTTTATGGTTTTGGCTTTATTTTTGATTTTAATCCATAGCTGTGGATTTTTTATTTTTTTAATGTTTGGGCTATTTGAATTCCTTTATGAGAGATTATTTATTTGCCTCAGGTCATTTTGACATTAAAATTGTAACTGCTGGTACAGTCTTAATTTCTTCCAACGGGTACTTGCAGAGAGAATAAAAATAGGTTTTTGACTGATCACTTCTATTGCTTTGTGATGTCAGTGAAAGGAAAGCCATTTTCTCCTGAACTTGAATCTATCAAAGTTATGCCTCTGACAGAACTCCAGGCTTGGGGAGGGGCAGAATCTTTGAAATTTTTGTGGTAGATCAATAGGTGTAGAAAGCGAAACTGTGAAAATAAATAACTTTAAGCTAACTTTCATTACAGGGGTGGCAGTAAAAGATGATGGTACTTCATTGGATGTGAAACTGGTAGAACACTGAGCCAGAGGGAATTCTAGATCCCCGTGTTAGGAAGTTAGGGACAACTTGTGGCTAAAAGCTTCATCTTCCAGAAGAGAAATATGAAAATCTGAGGTCATGACTTTTTATCAGTGACCCTTTTTTAGGTAGTTTTAAGTCACTGTATGTTGTTTAAGATGTATGTAGCTGTTCATTAAAAGAAGAAGAATAGGCAGGAGAAAATGTCAAATACAGATGGATGTAGGTAGATACATCGTTACTTTGGTCGATAGGACTTTCCAACGTTGGTGAAATGAAGACACTTGGGTGATTACACTCCACTTTCTGTCCATGTATTTCCCAGCAATTTCTTACTTCACTTACAAAGGATCAGAATTGCTCAACAGACTTGAGTTGCAGGAGCTGCACAAAACGTTGTTCCATATATGAAGATTATTTCTATGAATCTGGGTTTGTCTCCTATTTGAATTAAGTCTTACTAGAACTACCTGCTGAGTTATCCCTTCTGGGATGGTATAAGTGCAAAAGGATCAATATGAGAAAGTGAAACCACACATTAAATAGGCTGGAATGCCTCTCCTATGAAGACATTTACAAAGCGGTTAAGGCCTAACAAGATTTTACATCTTTCTAGATCTAAAAATGGTATCCTTTTTTTTCATCTTAAGCTCTTTAGTATTGTCTTCTTCACATGCTAACTTCTTGTTCCTTAGTATACTGTCCTTATCTCTCTCCTTGCAACATTTGTGCCTTGCAGCTTTTGGATTCTTGAAGTTAATGGTGTGCTCCCTGCTACTGGCTGACTTTGAGAGGTGTAGTTGTATTTTTGCACAGAGGAGTGTGACAGTATTCTCTTGTCATTCTGGGCTGTCCTTTTGTAGCTGCCTGATAAGTCAACATTTTTTCCCTTTTTTTTTTTTAATTAATCTTTCCTACTATTAGTCTTTACGCCAGGTTCTAACATAACTTGAATTCTGCTTGCATTGTGTGTTCAGGGCAGAGTTTTACATTATTACTTGAGGTTACAGTTGTTGGCTGTATTTCACCGTAGCTGTGCTTGCATAACTCAACCATATGTTAAAAAAATATAGAGGGTGTCTTTGAACTTTTGAGGAACTGAAATGCTGACTGGCTCTTATTGAGAATGTCTTTGAAAGAAAGTTTAAGGTGAATATTTTTGGGTTTTTCTAGGAATTTTTTGAAGAGGTAGAAGATCTAAAGCTTGCTGTACAGCAATGTCTGAAACTGAACAATGAGTATGAAAAGTGCTTGAAACAAATAAGTGTAATGTATGGGCTTCCTTTTACAGCACATTTGTAACTACTGGTTAATTTAATGGCAAGTAGAGTTTCCCCATATTTTTTATACTTACTGCAACATTTAAACCTACCATGGCTTAAGTGGTACCTCATTTTGATAATGTTATAGATTCATTAATGTGATCCTAACAAGCTTCATGAAATGTTTTTGTATTTTGTGCCTTTGATTTTTTGTTTATATGATTTTTAAATAAACTGTGGTCTGTATAACTTCAACTAAGTTTCAAAGCCTTCTCTTTGACTCTTAGGAAATGCATTCATTGTAGGAGTGGTTGTGGGTGTCTATGGGAATATGACAAAATCTTTCAATTTCCCAATTTATCCTTTTCTGTAAGCTAAATCAAATTAGATGTGTAGATTTGGCAGTCTTTGTGAATTTTAGCCCTAAGGGTGTGCTAATGCAGACAAAAATCAATTCTATCTTTAAGTCATTGCAAAGGGGTTTCTTAAAAGAAAAATGCTAAATCTCTCGGAGTTTTTCTTTAATCACAGTAATAAGTTAAAATATGTGGATGAAGGAAGGATTTAGGGTTCAGAATTGGAAAGAATGTATTCAGAAAGGTGGGTCAAAAAGTTGTTTTGCCTCATCAAAAGAAAAATTCATCAGAAGCTCTTATTTTGACTGAAGAGTGAAGTACTTGAAGAGCTCTGGTTTTTAAAGAGCTGAAAAGGAAAGTGGAGAGCAGAGTCACAGCTCACAAGGCAAAAATATTGTGTTGCTTCAGAGCTTGGCATGAACAGAGACAACTCCCAGTTGCAAGTGTAGCTTGCAGAACCTTGTGAGATTTTGAACCTCAACTTTTTTTTTAACTACATTTCACAAAAGTTTAACGTAGTTACATGATAGAACTTTATTTTTCTGAAAGTTGTAAATCTGTAGCTTTCTGGCATTGCAATGGGAGAATTAAGTGAAAACTATCACAAGGCTAGAAAAACTAAGCTTGCTTATAACCTAATACAGCTTCTTCAGCTTCATAAAAATATGTGCACACTCATGAGGGGTAGGACTAGGAGTAGGATTAAGACTCTTGTATCCCACTTGTTTTGTCAGGACAGTTTTACATAGTTGTAAATTAATAAAGAAATTTACCTCAAAGCATATGATGTGTTCAGAGTTATGTATTCACTGAGTGATAAGAGAAGGTAACTCCTTGCTTGCTGCTCCGGCTATAGAGTGTTGTGTTCCCTTGTTCCATTCTTGGCTTACTTGTAAATTAAAGCTGGATAATGTTCTGAACAGAGATGGAAAAGGGAAAGAGAAGAGGCGTGATAGAAGCCTGCATTGCCAGTAAACTTGATGGAAGAAAATAGGAAGAACTGCATGCATAATGGAAGAATTGTAAGTGCAAAAATGTTTCTAACTTGTTAATAAGCAAAATAGACATGAATGCTGGAGAAGGAATCAGTGCTAATCACTGGAGCATTTTCCCCCACAGTTTTGTGATATAAAGTTATACTTCTAGCATGTTGAATTAATCAGCAATTGCCCTTGTCCACAGGCTGATTTTTAAATGTTGTGCAGAATTGTTTTTCAAACATCCAGATGAGGAAAAGTTCAGGGTCTCCGCTGCCGAAGGGATGTATACATTGACTGCATAAAAAATTGTGGCTAGCAGAATTTTACTGTTTGCCAGCTACTGAAGATCACAATTTTTTTTCATTATAAAGTTTTCTGCCCAAACAATTGAAAGTAATTAATATGGTGAAAACACTGATCTCACCTTTATGATGAGCTTTTAACACTTCTAAAAATCATTTTCGCATCAGGCCGCTCACGTACACTTAGAACAAGAAACAGTGAAAAATTCTAGTCTAATCCTAACAGTGAGCCATGTGAGGGGGAGGAGCAGCAACGCAGGGTGCAGTGACAGGCAGAACCACAGCTCCATCTCACAGTGTGTGTGCAGCCTGGCAGCATCACTTTTGGCCTCGCCGTCATCACGTGTGAGTGGCTGTGGCTCTCCGGTCCCTGGGTCCCCTTACGTGAGGTTTGGATCCCTGCTGCGTGTGCATGGTTTCCGAGTAAACCGCTTTCCCAGGGATGTGCGCAGCCGTGCAGCCGCATTCCTGAGCGAACAGTTCCGCTGGAATGCGAGCAGCCACGGGCTGGCAGGTGGCAGAGCGAGGTGGGCAGGGATTTCTCTCAACCAGTAGCAGGAGTTGCCTTTCAGCTCGTTCTGCATCGCTGACTTTCTGTGAATTTTTTTTTTTTTTTTTAATTTCCCTTTCTATTTTTCCTTTCACTCTGAGGAACGCTGGAAATGTAGGGTGCTGATGGGAGACCTCTGGCATCTTCCACACGTGTGGCACAGCTCCCAGAATAGTAACGATTAGCAGCAGAATTGATGGGAGGAGGGAGCACATGTGGGAATGACCCGGCTTGAAGATGTGATATTTTTTTCTTTTGGACATGCTTAATGCAAGTTAAACCACTTACTGGCTATTTCTGTCCAAATTAGTACTGTTTTTGTTGGAAGAGGAGACTGTCTAGGACTACCAAAGTCTACTTCCAAATTCTGGGGTAGGTGCAGTTTGTGCAGGATAAAGCCATATGGATTTGTGTGTTTAGTTAAGAATTTACCTGTCTTTTGTCCTTGTTGCTGTGTCGGTTACCACATACTTCTGCTTTAATCTTGCCTTGTTGTGAGATGTACAAACAAGGTCTTGTTGATTTTGGTTGCTATTTAAAGTGCAGATGAGATGAATGTTAAAAAAGTTAATCAGCATTTATGTGTAGTTCCACTGTATTATGGAATTGTGATGTCTGGCCAGTGGCTTTCTCCAGCTAAATCAAGTTTAGATAGAACTGAATTGCATGCAGTTAAGTATTAGTCATGCTAATGTTAGATGGTGCACGTTGGAAATGTTTCATTATGCAGTCTAATGTTTTTTTGTCTCGAATAAGTACTTTGTAGTGCTGATATTGGGAATCTTGTGTTTGAAAATAAGTGGCTATAATCAAACAGAAGTTTTGGTTGGAAAAATGTCATAGTCGTGTCAGTTTTCAGTTTCCATGAGACATAAATCAAATGGACTAATGCATGGGACAGTGAAGCAGTTTAACTTTATTCTGTATTCTGTATATAGCTGAGGCCAGAATTTTAGAAAGATCCAATTTTGTGTGGCTCTGTAATTTTGTCCTAATGTTCCTAACACTTCAGGTCTTAAGATTCAAAGGCACTGAATATTCACAGTTTTAATCAAATTTAGTTAATTCAAATGCACATGGGCTGCTAATCACTGAGTACTGTGCCCAGTAATTGCTAACATCCTGTACATGAGTCCTATGTTAGGATTTTTCTATTGTAGAAAGCAAAACTGCAATCCCATTCTTGTGTGGGTGACAAAATTTTGTGGTTTCCTCTCGAATTTTTTCCATGAGCATGTGAAGTAACATCTTTATAGCTCTCCTGGAGTCCCTTTTACCTTGACCTGTGCCACAATTTACCTTGAAAGAGTGTGCCAGAAAGTGCCCTCCAGGAGTTGTTTAGTCTGGAGAAAAGGAGGCTGAGGGGAGACCTTATTGCCCTCTGTAACTACCTGAAAGGAGGTTGTAGCCAGGTAGGTGTTGGTCTCTTCTCCCACATAACATGTGACAGGACAAGAGGAAGCAGCCTCATGTCTGACTAGGGGAGGTTTAGATTGGACATCAGGGAAAATTTCTTCACTGACAGAGTTGTCCAGTATTGGAACAGGCTGCCCAGTGAGTCACCATCCCTGGAGGTATTTAAAGGATGTTTGGATGTGGCATCCAGGGACAGGGTTTAGTGAGGGACTTGGCAGTGCTGGGTTAAGGGTTGGACTCAGTTTTAGAGGTCTTTTGAACCTAAATGATTCTATATAAATTTTTTGGTTTTGTTGCTGCTGCTGTTCAAGTTAAGCTCTGTCTTTACCTATCTTTGACCCCTACTCACAGTGTTTTCACTGTATACTTCTAAAAAAAAGCATCATGCACCAAGATTCTGGCTGGCTTTCAACTGGTTTCCTTGGTCCTGGTGGGAGAGTGCAGTTCTGTGCTCAGGGGCATGGCTGGCTGTGTACCTGAAGGAAAAGACCAACTTTGCTTTTTAGGCCAATTACACATTCCCAAATCTTTCAGAGTGACAAGAAGCTAACACTGTAGGCTTGCATGGTAGTTTTCCACAGGGAATGCTGACTTAACAAATATTTTTATTTTGTATGATCTCCACAGGGATTTTGTACTGACAAAACACCCAGCATGATCCTATGACAAGTCCTAGCTGTGTTCATCTGAGAGGAGGACTGAGCCATTGAGTCTTATGCTGGTACTGCAATGCTGAGCTCTAGCTCCACCACTGTGAAGAATCTTCCTCTGAAGAAGAGGCTCTGTTTTCTGCTGAAGCTTGTGGGCTTTGTCAGCTCAGTGTTCATATTTTGTGAATTTTTAATTTATTATGTGGTAATTTTTCAATGCCGATGGCCAGAAGTGAAAGGTGGAGCTCCCATGGGTGAAAAAGAGACTTCAGCTTCAGTCCTAAAGGCCATGATTTTAGCTGATACTCACCTACTTGGTGAAATCAAAGGACATTGGTTCGATAAGCTAAGAAGGTAATTATTAATTTTTTAAAATAATCTCTATCCTGGTTTTAATATTTTTAATAGTAACTAATGAGACAGCAATTCACTGTTCTAATTAATTGTTGTTTAATGGAATTGCAATGAAAAAATAAGCTGGTATTGCTTCTTGCATATGTTGGTCCTGATTATATTGTGGTAGAATTACCCATCAGGTAAGATGCACCTGCTGTACTTAGACCTGATTTCTAAGTATTTAGTTTGAATTTCATATTATATTTTTCTAATTCAGGCTGTGTCTTTGTTTTCAGAGCTGAGGATCCAGAGGTTAGGCAGTGATGACTGGCTCTGTGTTTTCCTTTCAGGGAATGGCAAATGGAGAGATCTTTCCAAACTGCCTTATGGTTACTGCAACCAGATATTGTTTTTATTCTGGGAGATGTCTTTGATGAAGGAAAATGGAGCTCACCTCAGGTATGACATCATCAGCTCTCTTATTTAAAAAAATGAGGATTTCTTGAAGGAAATGGATGACAGAAGAAAGCAGAGTAGGTATGCGAGGCTTTGCTTCGTATTGCTACAGTTGTGCTGTTGCTGATAGAAGTTTCTAGTCTTTTAGATATGTGAGTTCATTTTTGATAGTATCTTGACAATTTTGCCCCTCATATAAAACTGACAAAATGTTAACATCTCAGTGTGTGCTTCTGTATTAAATAGTTGTGATGGGCTGACCCTGGCTGGATGCCAGGTGCCCACCAAAGCTGTTCTGTCACTCCCCTCTTCAGCTGAACGGGAGAGAGGAAATACAAGAAAGACTCATGGGTCGAGGTAAGGAAGGGGAGAGATTACTCAACAACTACCCTCATGGGCAAAAGAGACCTGGGGAAAAAATAATTTAATTTATTGCCAATCAAATCAGAATAGGACACTGAGAAAATAAAACCAAATCTTAAAACACCTTCCCTCCATCCCTTCCTTCTTCCTGGGCTCAATGACATTCTCAATTCTCTTCCTTTTCCACCCAGCAGCACAGGAGGACAGGGAATGGGGGTTGCAGTCAGTTCATCACACATTGTCTCTGCTGCTCCTTCCTCCTCAGGAGGACTCCTCACCCTCTTCCCCGTTCAGTGTGGTGTCTCTCCCTTGGGAGACAGTCCACCAACTTCTCCAATGTGAGCCCCTTTCACAGGCTGCAGTTCTTCAGGAACAGACTACTCCAGCCTGGGTCCCTTCAGGGTCACAAACTTGCTCCAGCGTGAGGTCCTCTCACCACAGGTTTTGCCAGGACCCTGCTCCGGCATGGGCTTCCCATGGGGTAACAGCCTCCTTCAGGCATCCACCTGCTCAAGCCTGGGCTCCTCCATGGGCTGCAGGTGGATCTCTGCTTCTCTTTGGACCTCCATGGGCTGCAGGAGGCCAGGCTGCCTCACCATGGTCTGCACCATGGAGGAATCTCAGCTCCGGTTCCTGGAGCACCTCCTCCCCCTTCTTTAGTGCCCTTGGTGCCAGCAGGGCTGTTGTTCACATATTCTCACTCCTCTCTCTGGCTGCAATTGCACAGTTTATTTTCCACCTTCCTGACTGTTATCCCAGAGGTGTTGCCACTGTTGATGATGGGCTCAGCCTTGGCCACCGGTGGCTCCATCTGTGGCCGGCTGGCACTGGCTGCTGGACACAGGGAAGCTTCTGACAGCTTCCCAGAAAAGCTACTGCTGTAGCCCCCCAGTAACAAAACCTTGCTGTGCAAACCCACTGCAATACTAGTGGTCCCCTTTGATACTGTGGAACAGTATTAATTTCTCTTTTTGTTTTTTTTTCATGCAGGCATGGGCAGATGATGTCAGGAGATTTCGGAAAATGTTCAAGTATCCAGTTTCTACGGAGCTAGTGGTCATCGTTGGGAACCATGACATTGGATTTCATTACGAGTAAGTCTTGTCAGTGAAAGGAGTACCCAAGTGCCAAGAATGAATGTCAGCATGCATACAGTAACTGGTTTTGTGTCTGAGTGAGCTGTTTTGTGGTTATACAGCAAGTTTTTGATCATTATCAAATTAGAAAGGATTGTAATTTAGGGTAAGACCTTAAAAGACATCCACCTGTGCACAAAACAGGCTCCAGGCTACTTTTATGCTTCTCTGACCATACGAGAAGTTGTTCAGAGCTGATCTTTCTGCTTCGGCGTGGAATCCTTGTGTTGGGCCTGCTTGTCAGAAAAGTGTTCAGTGGGAGCTGTTTCCTTTCCTGTTATCTCAGCACAGAAAAGTGTAAGTGCCCTCGTTCTTGCTGTGCATGCACTGATGGGGCTGGGACAGAGGACATGAGAGGTGTCAGAGCATCCCTGTGAGTCTGCTGAATGAATGTGTGAGCTGGATAATGGAGCAGCAAGATGAATGAATGGCCAACAACCTGTAAAGCAACTGTGTCAGATGAGTTCCAATGGCAGTTTCTTACCTCAGCTGTATTTTTGCTCTGTGACACAGAATGACTACTTACAAGGTAAATCGATTTGAAAAGGTTTTCAACTTGACTTCAGGAAAGCTAATAACTCGGAAAGGAGTAAAGTGAGTATATTTAAATTTTTTTTTCAATGCTTAGGGCAGAGATTACTGAGCTATCAGACCAGTGATGAAAAACCAGAAGTGGAATTTCTAATGAAATAGTATGGGAATGCTTAACTTAGAGCCTTTGTAATCATCTACCTTACGATATGTTAAACCCGAAACACTTTGTACAAACCTGTGGTTTGATATGGAGTGGAAGCTGTACTTTGAGCTGGGTAAATTGTAACCATTTCCTTTTAAATGGAAAAGTACTGTGGAGCCAGAATCCGTTTCTCTGGTTTGCCTTTATACTTCCTTGCAGCTGGTAATGAGCCATGGCTGTAAACATAACAAAAGGATTCATAAAGAAACACAAATCAACCTCCTCTGTGTTTACAAATTAAGAGTTTCATTAATTTTAATAACTTCTTTAGTCTGCAGAACTTAACTCGTTTGAGGAATTTGCGAACATAGCAGTTGCTTTTCCACGGTTTTCCACTGGGTGGGGTAATAATGCACAAGCTGGTTTTGGCTTGGAGTAGAGCTTGTTACAGAGTATGTTCTCACACAGGAGTGTCTGTGGCTGCAGTTGTCTGCTGTGTGCCCTGTTACCTTTAGATGCCGTGCAGGAATTCAGTGAGGGAAACCAGTAGTGGTTCTGTGGAAAGGTGTTTGTCTTTAAAGCTCAGATGTATGAAGGGGAGACCCATTGCCACTCTGCGTTTGGCTCGTGTGCCACGGGGTTGTAACCACTCCTGTAAATGTGAGATTCAAAACGTACAGGTTTACACCAGTTCCCTTAATTATTCAAATGTTAAAAATATTCTGAACAGGTATAGAAATGGCTGTGTCTATTTTAGGAGGATCTATGAGCTTCATGCATGCTCTGTATAAAGCTGTTGTTTATAGTGCAGATGTGGTGTCCTCTGGATATGTATTTCAGTTGTAGTAAAAATAATTATTAAGGAACATCTCCATGTCCCCATTAATAAAACACAGCATGCCTGTAGTTACAGTCTGTATGTCTGGTACCATGTTCATTAACTGAAATGAGCTGCACTATTAATGAAAAGTTCTGAGATAAACTATTTTACAACAAATCTGTGGTATAAAAGCAGCTTAATTTGCTAAAGAGAATAAATTTTTTTTGGTATTGACTAGTATCTTGTAAGTGAAGGCATTCAGCTCATTTGTGTCTGTAAAAGATACTGAATTGAACTGGAATGTATCTCAGATCCTGAGTGTGTGACTAAACGGGTGTGAATCTTGCGGCAAAAGTTCAGAGATGATTTGAAATCTACAGTGAAACCTCCTCTTACAAACACAATCCTGTTTTCTGTGTGAGAAACGGCAAAGTATGAAACTACCTTTGTTCAGGGTAGCCAGCCAAATGCAGTGTTGTTTTGCTTTTCAGTTGTTCTGAAGAAACTGAATGTCTAAAATTCTGTCTCTGAGGTCTAAAGTGTGTGTGGAGAGAGAAGCAAGTTCTCCTTTCCATTAGAATTCAGCTTAGTGATGAGCTTCTAACATTCCACTAGAATACCACTTGAATATCTGTTAAAATATAAAAATATATTGACATGTAAACATGAAGCATAAGGTATATTGTGCCACCTAATAAGGAACTGATTATAAAGCAGTCTGCCAGACAGAGAAATGGCTACAGTGCAGATACTCAGAGGAGGATTTATAGCATGAGATTTTGGAAGCTGTTAGGTTCTGCTGTTTTGTTGAGCTATGTCCAACTTTCAAACTCTTGCATTTTATAAACTAAAGTTTATCCAGCATGTGTGCATGAGCAACAAATGCTTCCCTGCCCTCCCCACTTCTTCTCACCCACCCCCTGGTCTTTTCCAGCTTTGTCCTGGTGAACAGTGTAGCCATGGAGGGTGATGGCTGTGCTGTCTGCAGTACCTCAGAGGCAAAGCTTGTGGCACTTTCTCACAAACTGAATTGCTCCCTGCAGGTAAGTGTTTATTAAAGATCTGATTACAGCCAGCAATGCGACAGTGCTGCTACACAGCAGCCACAGTGGCAATACTGATACTGTAGCAATAGTCAGGCTAACCAAGACTTTCCTGAAAAAAATCTGCTTTCAATTCATATTGCAACTTGTTAGTAAATCTTTTTCCTCATTTCTCTCTTACCATTTTTACTTAACTGTGTTGCTTTGCACTAACGTGTTAATTCCCTTGTCAATGTTGCCAACAGAGGGTGTAATTTCCTCTGTTCCAAAAAAAGGCAGAAGTTCTGTAACCCTCCCTTTAAAATACATAGTCATGCATTTCTGTTTATGCATATCATTCTATTTTATAGCCTTTAAGCTAGCCTATTATTTTAGTTTCCTGATTCCATTGCAGTCCTGTCTTGATAGCCTAGTAATGTTTTAATTGTATTATTTTTTCATCAAATCCAATTGCTTCTTGTATTTCATCCCTCTTCCCCTTCTCGTAGGCCTACTGGACGCATAGTGGGCAGCATGACTGAGGGGGCTGGCAGTCAATCAGGAAACCAGGTCCCAGTGGAAAAATTGGCAGACTGTCTCTCTCGGGCTGCCCCCAAAGTCTTTTGCCTTTGTGCAGTGAGATCCTGCTGTTGCTTTCTGCGTTCAGAAAGAGGGCAGCTGTATTTACAGCATGTACAGAACGGGGAGTTACATCACTCCACAGCAGAGACTCTCGGAAGTTCATACAGTGGATAGTACTTAAACACTGCACTCTTAGCTGAAACTGCTTTCCCTTAAAAAAAAAAAAAAAGCCAAGAACCACCTCCAACCCCTTGAAACCTAGCTATTGTTTGATTACCTTAACCCCTTCTATGGACTAATTTTATTCACAGAAACCAGATCATTCCAACAAAAGGTGCAGTGGTGTGGAAAAGCTTCCAGCTTCAGAACCTATCCTTTTACAGGTGTGTTAGAGGTGGGGAGCAAGGGGGGCAACATGTTGACATGGGGTTTTTGTGTATTTGTTACTCTTCCAGAAAAGGCTGGATCATTAACAACTGGTCCTTTCTTTTAATTACTCCCAGCATTACCCTCTCTATCGGAAAAGTGATGCTGAATGCAGTGGAGAAGATTCTGCTCCTCCAGAGGAGAAGAACACCCCCTTTAAAGAAAAGTATGATGTACTGTCTCAAGAGGCATCACAAAAGGTTTGATTTATTGGGAACTTGCGTATTGGTGGGTAGGTGAGAAGGGAACACCATTGTAGCTATAAATAGATTAAAAACTTGTGGTAAGGCTGTTAGCTGGGACAAACTGACCACACCTGCTCCTGCTCTAATGAGGTCTGTGAGAGGCTGCTTGTTAGAGCGGCTCCTCTGAGGATTGTTGCGATCATGACCTTGATCCTGCTGGGTTTCCCAGGCATGGGTCATAAGTCCCAACACTCTCAAGTCTCCTGAAGTGCTGATACCTCCACTTTACCATTTTGTCCTTTCTGTACTGTATAGATTGCTGACAAAGCTGGTAGAAAGCCACAGTTTTCCAACACTTTGAAAGCATTGTTTTTGCTGAATTGGTAACTGCAAGAAAATGTAAAGATAAAGCATTCCGTAAAAACCTAATGGTCAGTAGTTGTTTCCTTCTGCATAAATGTCTTCACTCAAGACTGTCAGTACAAAGTTCTTCCTTAGACAAGAAAATAGCATTGCTTTATTAAACCCAAAGTTTTTCTACCTGTGATAGCAACAACATATTGCCTTTGTTCTTCTGATCTGTATGGCCAAAAAAATAAAAGCCCAGTATTTGCTATCAGGGCCAAATGGGTGTGATTAATATTGCAATATCAACACATTCTTACTGGAAAACATAACTTTACATAAAACACTTCGTAAGAATATTAGAATTGCCATAAATTCACTCTGTTTGAAGAAAGAAAAGGGGTTTGTAAGTTAAATTTTTTTTTAGCTGTGATTTAAGTTTTGTGCTTTATCATTTTGTGTTCTAGCTGATATGGTGGTTTCATCCCCGTTTGATTCTCAGTGGGCACACACATAGTGCTTGTGAAGTACTGCATGCAGGGAAAATTCCAGAAATCAGCGTCCCGTCATTCAGCTGGAGGAATAGAAACAATCCTAGTTTCATCATGGTAAGTTTTAATTTTTTTTTTTATTTTTGTCAGATAACTTTCATAAATAAATCAACATGGCAGTCAGCTATAGTTTAAAACTGATTCTACCTGTAAAAACGAAAAAATAATTAAAAAAAAATTGCCTACCCACCCAACCCACTCAGTACACTGCATCCACTTTATAAAGTACATCTGTGGGAGCCACATGTTCTGTGTGGTACAAAGCAATGCTGTTGAAGACCTAATTAGTATCTGGGTACAAGCATCTAACATTTTCTTATAAAGAGGGTGCATTGTAAACTACTGACTTGTAAAAATCAGTATTGTGCACTGAACAGTAGAAAGACTAGTTTGACTTGGTTGATTTACCAACTGTGAAAACAAGACTGTATCCACCTCAGACTCTTTTGCAGGGTGATGATGGTTTTCAGACTTGTGCATTAACCGCTTCACGCAGTGACAGCGTTTGTGACGTGCCCACAATCTGCCTCCTCATTGTCAATTCACATTTTATACAGTGTGTTGGTTATACTTGTGCAGGCGGTTCCAGTGCTCAGTATATCCTTGGAGGTAAATCAATTAGTTCCCCATTTCAAAAACAAAACAGAACTCCTAAAAACTTGGAGTAAGAAGCAAAACCTACAATCTGTTTACAGAGTAGTCTGTGACTTCAGGGGTGGGGAGGGGGAATCCTTTATGTATTTTTTTACCAGTGTTGAGTTTAGGCTGCTTAATACACAGATAACACCAAACTTCTAAATTCATTTTATGCAACTGTTAATATTTGTTGTTGAAAGTAGTTCTGTTTATTCCGTATTCCTGAGAGTAGCTGCCTTCAAACTACACACATTCTCTGCACATGCCAGACAGTGCATCTTCACTGCAAAACGAGAGGTTGGCTAATTAAAGCTGCATCATCTTCACTACTGTTTTAACTCCTCAGCCTCGGTCCATTGTAAACTTTAATTTGAACTGCAAAGTCAAGCCAAAACACAATGAAGTCCTTTGTTGCTGAAGTTCATGTTCATAATTTGGATTAGCCAACGTGGGTTTTTTTTGCTGCATGTACTGGGTAGGAGAAGGGTTCGGGAGGAGGAAGGGGCACATTCACAAAACCTAACTTTAGCTTGGAAAGGCTCCTTCCAGGTGGATTTACAGCAGCTAAAGTTAGGCTTCTCTTGAAGGCAAATCAGATGAGGAGCCCAGCTCTCTATTTACGCTAGATGGGAAGATTGGATTCTGGGCTAGTGTTGGCCTGGTGAATATTCCAGTTAGTGACCAGCACCGCAAGGTACGGACTCTTCAGCCCCCTGGAGAAGGCACCGGTACTAGGAAACTGGCCCCAACCCTTGCCACCCAACATAGGATTTAGAAATTGGAGGTGTGACAGCCGTGGTGTTTTACTCCTGATTCAGAACCCACTGTAACACAGCAAAGTGACAGTCTTCGTTTCTTTTCCAGGGCAGCATAACACCAACTGACTTCTCCCTCCAAAAATGCTTCCTTCCATATGAGAGCAGAGTCTTTACTATATACTGTGCAGCAGGTGCTCTGTTTGTGATCCTGATACTAGCTCATGTTCAGCTTCTCACTCCACCGTTTTATTTTGCTCAGCGTTTAATCAGTAAGCATAAAGCAGTATGAAGAGCCAGACATCTGCATTCAGTCACTGAAATACCAAAGCTGAGAACAGTCAAACATCAGACTATATTCATGCCAGCAAATGACCTAATTTGATTGCTAGTCTGAAGGCAGGTTGCATTTACACATACCATAGAAGTCCTATACAGCTGATATGACTACTACAGGATAAATAATTAACTGAAATGAACGTTTCATGCTGTACAAAAATACTGTATTCGACAATCAAATGAGTCCTTTTCCTGCTATAATTTTTGTATCAAATATGTATATTAAAAGTGTAACTGTACATTATGTAAATCCTATAGCCTCATCACTTGTCTGCACTAGTGTCTTACCCTGGTGGAGGCTGAATCCTGCAAACTGGAAACGTTTCTCTGTTTTATTGCTGCATGGCCCTTCTAATGTCACGCTTGAGTTCTAGGGTCAGGCAGAAACTAGACGCATCAGCACTGAGAGATGTGGATTTCCATAACCTTTTTAGGGTGTCATATGTAAGGGGACTGTGGTTTGGGACAAGAGATCTTCTGGTTCCTGACACAGTAAATTGTTAGCTGATTGTAATTTGCAGTTATCGTCTACCAGACAACAAAGGGAAGAAGCTCGTGGATCCAGTTTGCTGATACACACTTAAAACCTGCTTAAAAGAAATTAGGGTGACACCTCAAGCTGCTATTTTCAAAGAGATGTGCTATGATGAGCTTAAAAAAGAGGGCCCTATTGCATCCCAGAGATCTGTGTGGTGAGGGGCCCTCCAGTTGCCGATCTCCAGCGAGAAGGGAGGTCAAATACAGCTGCAGTAACATTATCCTATGCCTCGGCCCTCAGTCTACGGACAGATAGGGATAGGAGTGTGCGTTGTTTCAGATTCCTGCAGGGCACCAAGTCCTGTTGACTTTGTTGTAATGTCACATTTTGAACTGCACGAGAGGCCGAGGCCACCAGCTGTGCCACAGGCCCCAGCCCGGGGGGGCAGCATGGAGAAGATAAAATCTGAGCTCAGTGTCTTCACTGTGTGAAGGAAGGTGGACAAACCTACTGCTGGTCCCCACCTGCCCTGGAAAAAAACAAGAGGGAGTATTTCACACCAGAACCAGTTTTCCTGCTGATGTTCCTGCAGAGGCTGGGAGCTCTAACCTGAACTCCAGGGCTGGGGATAGTTTTAAAAAAAGACTATCTTTCGTTATCCGCTCTATTACTTTCTTTGGCATGGGAAAGAAGTGAGAGAATTTTGGGAATTTCGTTTACTATTAGCTTTTTCCGCCCAGCCTTTCACTTTTTGGGAAATATAACTAAATTGAACATAACACATTTCTGGGAAGAGGAAATGGTCATATTATAATATCTAAAATGGGACTATTTTATATTCAACTAGAAACAAGTTCTCAACTGATCTGTAGTCTGAATTTAAAAAGAGGTCTGATTGGGGTTTATAACTAATAATGATACTTACAGTAAAAAGTTAATAAAACCTACTAATTTTTATGCCAGTGTGGGGACTGTGTTAGCTCTTAATCTCTCCCTAAATTTAAAATGGAGTGGGGGGGGAATGGTCCAAAGTGTGGTAAAACACTCTAAAAAGTAATGTAGTCTAACACTTCTCTAGGTTTCTGTTATTGCAACTGTAATTTTAGACATTTGTACAGGTTATCTTGGACACAGGAAAAGTATATAGTCACAGACATAAAACACCTATGTATAAAATATAAAGCAGTGTTATAGTTACTAAAAAGGACATGCCTTATTGCTACAGCAATTCTTGCTTTTTATATATTGTACTGTACCACAACTTGTTTTGAGAATGTCATTTGCATAAATTATTCAAGTTTGAGAAATATTCACACATTTTGATTCTACAATATTTAAAATAAAACAATTTTCTAATGTGTCTCTTTATTAAAAGAGAAATAAAAATGTCATCTTGTAATTCTCTTAGGCCAGACACAAGGGTTTATACACCTTTTTTTTTTTTCATATCTTCTTTCTTGCTATTTACTTGCACAATGAAAGCCGCTGTTGGTACAAAGATTGAAGAGCTCTATATAATGGTGCTTTACACATTCACAATCGGTCTGTGCAATTGTGAAGTTCTATGAATGACCAAAGAATTACCAAACATATTTTCTAAATATAAAGGACAAAAAAAAAAAAAAAAAAAAAAAAAAAAAAAAAAAAAAAAAAAAAAAAAAAAAAAAAAAAAAAAAAAAAAAAAAAAAAAAAAAAAAAAGAAAAAGAAAACTAAATCCTTGGTTCCCATTAAAACAACACCAGGTTGCAATTTGGACACTTGAATGAATTCCAATGTTTTAAAGCTGAGACTTCAAAAGAGAAAGGCATGTTTGCTGCAACATCCGGTGACTGTAATACCTTACTTGGAAAGGTAAGTGGTTAATTTGCATAATTTATAATTTTTATACTAAAGAGCATTTTTATATAAACCAGAAAAAAAACCCTAAACTCTACAGATAAAGTTCTTACCTCCAGTCACTGCTGCAGGTAAGGTTGACATCAAGCTGTACAGCGCAATCAAAAACATACTTACATCTTAGCTCATTTTACAGGTACAGCCATAATCAAGGCACAAAGATCTTCTACAAGTATTTTTCTTCAATAAAGTTGTACAAAATAATATTACATTTTACAGTCTGTACAATATAATAAACCAGCAATAAAACAAAAAAATATATATAGGGAGAGGACTGTTGTCCAGGAATGATCGGAACTAAAAGGATCATTTGTGGACAGCACAAATAACATAAGTGAGGGTGGTAAATTTTCTGCCTAGATGCAACAGGCTGAAAAGTAGCTGTAATTCAAATGCCTGAGGTGTGCAGAGACACTTAGCTCCAAAACCCCAGAAAAATTGCTTTGTCTTCACTGTTCCTCTCATTATCTACTCTACTTCCTGTGCCAGTAACGGCTTAAAAGAGGAGGTCACTTTATCAGTTGACCTGCAACTCAGAAATGCTAAAAACTGTGACAGAGTAATAAATATTGTGGTGCTGCTACATTGTGTGTCTACTTCCTCAACAGTATTTAATAACCTGATACAAAGTGCATTAATCTTTTTTTTTCACCCATCAAGTACTCTTCAATGTCATGTTCAAAAGGAAACCCACACAGAGGGATAGGTATGACTTTAGTGTCATCCAGCTGACATACCAGTTTGAACTGAGGTTAACCTGCTGGAAAAAATTTAGCAGGTCACGTTCAGTTTAAAAAAAACAAAACCTAAGGGAACAGAGGTAGCCGAGGGGCTTAGTGGAATGACGAAGAAGTGGCATGTCAAAATAAAGCACAAAAATAGTCCCAAAAAGCATGAAGGAAAAATAACCCAAACTTGCTTCAAATCAGCTTTAAGGTTAAATAATTAAAGTAAACAAAGTGAAGAGACTGACATTTCTATAGTATATTCTTCCACCCTGTGTGGGGTAGTATCAAGAGAAAGAGTAAGGAGCAAAGAATTTAAAACCACAGGTTCCACGGTGATCCCCCTCACAAGAGTTCGTACTGGCGGAGATGCATCCTTTGAATGATGTCTCGACAGTCGTTGAACACTCTGCGGATATTTTCTGTGTCCACTGCACATGTAAAGTGTGGGTAGCAATAATGCCGGCCATCTCCGCTTGCTGTACTTATCCTCTGTGGAAAAAGTGAGGCAAAAAAACAAGAGTCAGGTGCCGTGCCATGAGAAGTTTCACATCTCAGCAGTCTATAGACTTATGGAGAACCAAGGACCCTGGGAAATTCTGTGTATAGATCACTAAAGAAGGTAAATAAAAAGAAGCAAAGACTGTGATCTGGTCCAATATGAATGACAAATTTGAAATGAAGATTAAAAAGAAGTTATGGATTTACGTACTTACAGGGTCAGTGTACTTGTACTCTGTGGGAGCCACTGATGCCATCATCAGTTGCACAAGTTATTACCATTTGCACATCACTGTGCAGCTACATCTGTGCAGCTGACAGCTGTGCAGTCTGCCGTGCAGCTGTCCCAGGAATTATTTTCTCTTCTTTCCTGGTGCCATCATGTGGCAAATTTTTGAACTCTTGTTTTAAATCAGCAACACTAAACTGAAAAGTTGTTATGCCAGCGGTGGCAGAGAACAGCATCCTACAGCTTCTGCTTCTTGAAGCTGAAGGCCTCTGAAGTTACCTTCACTTAGAGCACCTATTAATCCACCATGGAGTCCAGAACCTGGTGGAATTATTACCAGAGTGGTTGGGTTCCCACAGAGTAATAAAGCATGCACAAATCCAGTAAGCATCAGACCATGCAGAATTACATTTTCTCAAGGCTACTGCACAACTTTTTAGGTTCTAACTTATCCTCCAGCATCACTTCCCCCATGGTTATCTCATTAAAATTCCCCAGGATCTTAAAAAATACTAAAGAAAAAAAAATCTTAGTTTTGTTCTGTATAACTATAGGACTGATAAATATAAATCCATTCTAGATCATTATCTTGCAGAATACAGATGGAATGTTTTGTAAGCAGAATGACAATTCTTAGGATAGTAATTTTTATAAATATTTTCTAAATTCTACTACAAAATTACACTGGCTAAACAACAAAAGACAATGTTTTATCTTAGGCTGGCTACGTTATATATTTTTAACACAGTGATTTATTTTACATGTAGGATTGACCTTTTAAATACATGCAGCTATAGATATGCAATACTATAGACATTTAGAAGTCATGATTTACATAATTAGGTCAACAAAAAATTGCAGATTTTTGCAGGTAACTTAGGTTATATTATACATTCAACACTGACTACACAGGCATATTCCATACATTTCCTATAAATTATTTCCTTTTTACTATTCAATACCTAGTTCAAGGCTTACTCTCATGAAAAATACTAATAAGTATTTGCTTGTGTTTATCACGCACCGATTTCACTAATGTCTATGGCAATAAAATGCCCACGATGTTCTGGTGGCACCTGGTTACATAAACAGCATGCCAAAAGACATGTTTTCAAAATATTAGGGGTTTGTCTATTTTTGTCACCTGACAGCTCTGTAGTTCTCTCGTTTTAAGACAAATGCAATATTTTAACCCCTACTCAGAACTCATTTTGAATAGTAGTGGGTTACTTAGCACCAGTTCAGAGGGTAAAAAAAAAACACCTTGGGAGACAGCAATGAAATAAATACTCCCCCTTCCAAGGGGGAGTATTTAATAAAAGCATCCCTACACTGCAGGGGTCGGGATGGCCTTTTCCAGCAAGGAGCCATATGTATGTTTTGACGAAGCCTGGTCTGTGTGTCTGAACAGCAGCTCCTTCACCTCCCAGATTCAAATTTTTGAAAAACAAGCATGAACTAGAGTGGCCATGTCACTGTTTTAACAGGGGTTGCCTACAAACTGGGGATGTATTCAAATAAAACATCAGCAGCTGGAGAGCCCTGTGTACAAAACACTGAAATGGGGCTGAGGAGTAGCCTCAACAAGGAGTGCACAAGCATGTTGCCTTCATGAAAAGTCTGGGAGGAGAAACAATGTGCCTGAGCTAAAGGATGGAGAATTTCCTACAAGATACATTTCCAGGACTTGGAGACATGCTCACCAGCCCAGTCCTGAAGTGCACGAGCCCTGAGCTGGCCATGTGTCCTGCCAGCCCTCACAAGCTGCTCTCCTGACTGAAATCCGACGGTGCCCATCTTTGCCCTCCAAGCCCCCAGGAGCCATGGGCCCCAACACCAACCCTGAAATCAGGAGCTAGCGTATTTTTCATTTCTAATAATCATACACTACCCTGTAGCAATAGTTACATGCTTTAAATTTGCCAGTATCACTGCCTACAGCTGGGCAGAGTTTTAAGGGGTGCAGCACCATGGTGGTGCTTTTCACACGTATCCATGGCTTATGCAGACCTGCTACCATGACAAGAATCACAATAAAGCATAATAAACCCAGATTTCTTTGAATCATCAGACCCTTCCCCAGTCTGCACCTTGAGGTTATTTCCTCTGCCGCTTTTGTAACTCCCTCTGAAACCTTGGTCTTTCTTGCCTGACCTCATGGAACTGGAAGTCCCCATTTCTGCTTGGCCTTCTCCTCCCTCACTCTCCCCCACTACTCGGGGCACACACAGCCTGCTCTGTGGGAGGGGTTGAGAGCACGACTTCCAGTTCAAACAGTCCAAGAGTATAAAGCAACTGTTCGGATGACTACATCCCTCTGCTCTGTCATGCTGAGAAACCAGCCCAAACCCAGGGGAAAGACACACGTTATGGAGGAGATGCTCTCTGCCAAGCCCATGGCAGGTACAGACAAATGGGGGAGAAGCTGTTTTGGCCCCATGCCTGAGCCCCAGGGACTGCCTGGCAGGTGGAGGCCCCAGCCCAAATGCTTCCCCCGCCCCCAGCACCCGTGGTGTTTTATTATGTGATTGCAATGCCTAGGTCCCCTCCCCTCCCCTCCCCACTTCATAGGCGGCCTCCTTCTGTAATACCAGTGAGTCATGGCAGGTAAGGATCTTGCCCTTGATGTGTTTTTTTTTAAATAATGAAAATAGACAAAGGTGGGGAGTTTCACCTCAGTTTCCCCATTATTCGTAACTCTTAGAGCCATCCCCCTTCCAAATTGGATTCCGTCACCTGTTTCACAGTATTTCAGCATTACCACAAGAGAGATCTGGCCTGAAGTGAGGGTTTTTTGGTAACTCCTACGTTAACACAGTGCAATTTGACATTTTTCCTCAGAATCCATGAGCCTAATGTAGTGAATGGAAATCCCCAAAGTGTGAACACAGTTAATTGCTTCTTTCTTTCTTGGTGCGTCAACAGCTGTAAATCCTAACAATACTGGTAAATACGTAATGACTTTAAAATGCTTAATTTTAATGAATCAATTTGTTGTCTCAAACACACTCATATAGTTTCTTCCAGTAGGGCATGACGGATGAGCTTTGGTTCTGGTCTCTGTTACTGCTCTGCACTATGGGAACAACTCAGTATGAGTTGAGGCCAGAAGTGATGATGGATTAAATCCTCCATTTCTGATAGCAGAGCTGGGCTGTGATTGTGTGCCTGATAACTGCTTTAATCTTCAAAATGTAGACAACACCTCTTCAGCTCCAGCTTCAGAAGAAACCTTAATTGCAGGAATAAATGTGACTAGACAAGGAAACTTTCTTATGATTCTTCAAGTATGGCCATGACACCAGTCATAGGGTGAGGCAAACCTCATAACTGGTACACATCAGAAATCTTAATTAAGAATAAAATCATAAAATCTGTGTATTTTTTTTTTTCAATCTGTCTTGCTAGATGACCACTGCCAAAGTCCTTGGAGGAATGCAGGATAAAAATAAAAAAGCCTATTTGTTTACACATGTACTGCAGATGACCATTCTGAGCACTAGCACTTACTTGTGGTGTGACACTTTGCATGGCAGGTGCCTTTATATAAAATGGGCATAAAAATGTGCAAGCACTGAGGAAGGTTCTGCAAGATGGGCAGCTGAAAAGAATTAGGAAATTGCCAGACGTTGTCCTCTCCTTCTAGCTTTCTGAAAAACCCCATCAGTTTTCCCTAAATAAACTATGCCATCTGTCAGTATTTCCTATGATAGAATCACACATAAGATGAAAATTACTCACTAAAAACTCATCCCGGATGAAGAACTTGGCTCTTGTGACTTTGGGGTCTTCTCCTGCATCTGGTGTTGCTGTTCAATTAAAAACAAATGATATTAGAAACATGAAAAGCAATCATTCATCTACTTTTTGTAACAAAGGGGTTAATAAGGAGGAAGTAGGTCTTCAGTACAGAAATTGAAATGTTAATTACCTACAGAAGATTCTCAGTAGGTAATTCTAAAATGGAAGGGTACAGTAAAGCCTGACTATGCATACAACATATTTTAGGAACCTGAAAATTGCTGAAATTGTTGCAACAATGTCATTGGTCATATCACAAAAAGGCTTACTCACATCCACAAGTTTGTTCATATAGATATAAAACAAGTGGGAGTTAGGGTTTAGCTTTAATCAAAAAAAGCAGCTGAGCTGTTCAGTTTCTGCAGCAGAACAGTCTCTCCTGAAAAAAAGCTTCTGCAGGCAGGATTTTGGGTTTAAAAATGGTTGGTCTAAGATTACATTTGAAAAAATGACAGCATCAAAAGATCTTTTGATATATATGTATCTTATTTCTAGGCCCCTAGTCAGCAGAATACTTTAGATACACTGCCCATCAACTGGACTTAGACTAAATTCTTGTTGAGCAGGGGACTTGTTGGTCAGTATTGTTTGTTGGCAGAGGAAGTCATCACTATCCGGGTCATGCAACAACTATATTTACTGTAGGTGTAAAAAACAATATGCTGAAGAAGTAACCTATTCATTTCCTGTCAGTCTGACCTCTCCTCAACTAAGACACCAAATCAGATGCTTATAAACATAATATGGAAAAGGCCAGAATTTATCAGAACACAGAAACGTCTTTTATTTACAGCACTACAGGTAAAAATAAGAGCAGCAGCACAATCAACAGCATCTTGGAATTCTGTGCTGCATGCCCATGACAGCTGAAATTAAAGAATACATGAACAACTATGGGCTAAAAATAGACAGCTACTTCATATGTGAATATTCTGGATCACTCTAGATATCCACTGTGAAATCCCTCTCAGAAACACCAAAAGCTACTTTATTCTGACAACTGGCTTAGTATAAAAAAGTGCTGAAAATTCACTCAAACTCTGTTTATGTGATGTGTGTTTGAGAGAGGGAAATTTGGATGATGGAGATAGATTACTTCCAAAAGCCCTTAGCATTGCAAAACTGGTGCCAGGTTAACTCAGATTTAGCACAGTTTATTTATCCTCTGCACCTGAAATTCAGAATCACACTCCTGAAGTTCCAGACCTGAATGAAAGCTGAAAATAGCTTATTAGCATCTTCACTTCTATAACCCAGGCTGTTGCTGGTGGTTGGTGTAGAACAAAAGCCTTTTGTGACAGGTGGCTGCAATCATTACACCAAGGTCATCACTCAGGTAAGGCAGATGCTAGTGGTAAGAAAGTGCAAATTTGACCACTTTTGCTAGACACAGATCCAAGACGTTTGAGAAGCCCTCTGGGCTGGTACAAAACTGGCATAATACCAGAGTTTACTTATGCAATATATTATTGCAGTGCAGGAATCACTGTACTTCTAGAAATGATAAGAAACGAACCCACATTGATTGCTCCATTGTCACAGCTTTCTTACTATTTATTGATGTGGTTTTCCTCCATTAAAGTTCCCTTGCCAATCTGCTGGGCTTCCTGTCAGTATTTCAAAGACTGAAATTTACAGTGTTGGAGGATGAAGAATGTCTGCAAAATAAGTCTAATGAATCCCTAACAAAGTTCAGCACTGGGGGAGGCCCAGCCAGAAGCATCTGGCTGGGGGAGAGACATGCAAGGCAGCTTTGCCTTCCTGGGACTGGTGGTTGCTCCCAAAGAGGGAGAGGCAGGTGCTCTGGAAACAGCCCCCCAAATTCCTCCCACAGCAGCCAGAACCCCTTCAGACCCTGCCCATGCTGGGGTATGTCTGAGCTACTCTGCTGGCACGCTCCTTGCCTGATGAACAGTTCACGTTAAGAGACAGTGTGTGCTGGTGAATTTGTGTGTGTGAGAGAGACAGACAGAGACAGAGAGAGGAACTGTGGGCTGGGCCATGCCAGCAGGTCCAATCCCAGCATGAGGAGAAACCTTACCATCCTCAGGTACAGTATAATGCGCGTATTCAGGAAAGTAATCTTCAATTTTTGATTTCCCTGCCAAGACTTTTTCAGCCAGCATGTCCTGTTTATTCAAGAACAAAATGATAGAAATGGTCCGTAACCACCTGTCAAGAACAAACCAAATGTTTGTGTTATCTCTGACATGTTAATCAAGGAAAACATACCATGTCAATAGAAAATGTACTGGCTATCCCTGTGTGGACAGAGAGTGAAGCAGTGTGGAACATGCTTCAACAACAAAAAAAGATGACCTAAATGATTGTTTCGATCCAGTTGCATCTGTGCTGGTGCTACATTTCTAGGATCAATAAATACATTTATAAAAACTGCAGTGGACATTGCTGAAGGGAGCAGTTTTTCAAATTTTTTTCTAAATCATCCTTCGGATCTAGAGTTGGGAAAATGATGACATTTTCTAAAAGCACTACAGTCCACAAACAAACATAACCGTCTGCTTTTGTTTGGTTTTGATGAAGCAAGAAAAAAAAAAAAAGGCTGGAAAGCTGCCTTCCCTTAGACTTCTCTGTCCAAACTATTGTTCATCCCCATAGATGTTCCATCTTTTATGGTGGCCTGTATGACACCTGATGAATGAAAATAATATAATCTCTCTTTTCTTCCCCAATTAATCCATCACTGTATTGACGTGCCTTTGGGACTTGCAGTTAACATTCTTTCTCATTCCATCTTCAATCACTTCTCAGTGCAGAGCATCCTCACAGGTATGTGCTGAAAACTTCCTCACCTTATTCTGTGTACTGTTTTTACTTATTCCCTATTAGGGAATTATCTGGATTGCTATTTGGTTAGGTATCTATGATTTACATGCACTGTGACAGAATGGCAACTTAATGGCAGTTACAGTTAGATTAGACCTGAAATATCATCCCACAAGGCAGAAATACCATGCGCTCTCAGAGACGAGCCTTACGAGAGCGGCTGCCCACGCGGGGATCGAGCGCAGCAGCAGCCGGGGAGGGAATCGAATGCAACACCAACGGCTCCCACCGCTGCGTTTGAGGAGGAGATCAAATGTTATTCCGAGGATCTCTCAGTCTCAGCCAAGCAGCACAGTGATGCCAGGGAGGGGTCTCCCCTGATTCCCTCATAAGCAGCCAGCCTGGAGGGCTTGCCCCTTCCAAGCTGTCCCCACACACTGCATCATTTTGGCAGGAGTGGCAAAACGTCACGTGCACCATTGCTGTACCACGGCCCCTGCCAGGGAAGGGTGTGCACCATGGGGGCACACTGTGACCTGGCCCAACCGGGATATTTTCTCAGTAAAACAATCTGAGCATACAGTAAGGGGAGTCCTGTTTTGCAAGGAGTTTTGAACTGTAGTTAAATTGGGGAGGGTGGGTGGGAAATGAAGTTTGTTTTACCTGTTATTCCAGATACTTTTGAAAAGGTCCAGGGATTCCCGTAGTCTATTTGTGTTATTGTCTTCCCTTATTACCATGTTGTAGCTGCTGCAAGCCACAACGAAGATGATAGCTGTGACATCTGTGCAGAGCACACAAAAGAAAGAAAGAAAGAAAAAAAGGAGAGAGAAGAGAACATCTCTGTTATCCCAGCAAATACTCCTTGGGGTAACACTGCCATTACTCCTCAATCTGCCAAAAATACCAGAAGAAAATATCTGTAACACTGGACTGCTGTACTAATGAGATACTATGTGTGAATACCAATAATAAGCTGCTCACACCTCAGAGAGTAAGTCCAAAATGAAAACATGAAATATTTTTACTTACCATTAAAGCATTGGATCCATTTTCTTCTCTCATCTCTCTGGCCACCTACATCAAACATGCTGTTAAAAAGCCATAGGATGTTATATCATTTATGTGCACTAGAAAAACCACACAAAGCATGCAGCATGAGGGTTTAGCTAAAAATCTGACAGCCCCAAGGACAGAGGCAGTAAAATATTGTCTGAAAAGGAGAGAGATCTGCTGATGCTGTGTTGCATGTTAGAGACAGCTGCACAGCTCCACCTGCCCTGCTCTGCCAGGAAAAGACTACTGAACCCATAAAATGAGAAATATTCTCTTCAAGGGCAAGTGTTGGCACAGAAGTGAGTAGGGCATGTAAGACTGGACCTATGTACTGTAAACAAGGACAGGTTTCAGGGTATTTTGAAGGGTAATGGGGAGAGAGCATCTCTGTAAGGAGGAGGATATGGGGGCAGCTCTGCCCTATCAGTGCTACCTTTCTGGGGAAGAACTGATGAATGAAGGCAACCTGAGTGTGGATGTTTTACAGAGACACAGTGTAAAGATTCAGCAAACACAGAGCTTGTAGCCCTCTGGAGGAAGGCAGAATTCCCCACTGTGAGCTCTTATCACAAAAGATATGAGTTTACAATGCTATACCAATGAACCAGTTTGTAAAAGTAGCCACACGCAACCCCAGAATAAAGCATTGCTAATACACATAACTAATATCAGCTCTTTTTGCAAAGTAGGAGGTAATTTCACCAGGACCTATGGAAAGAGAGCTAAAAAACCAAACCAACCAAATAAAACCCATCCATTCCCACCCTAAGCCTACTATACCAAGAACACATGACCACAGACATCTGAACAAAGTTGTTAAAAATTAGTATGATATTCATAAATTACTATCAATAGACTTACTGGAAATTTACTTTATCTACTTGAAATCTTGTTTCAAAAATTCCTGATGTCAACACTCTGCATCTTAACAGGTCCTGGAAATGAGAACATAGAAGCTGATTAGTAAGGCTTTTTTCTAACCTAATTTTGTTTTTAAAAGCTTGGAATATTATTCTCCGTGAAAGGTCTTAAATGTTTCATTTAATTAAGGTTCAATCAGACTTTTTTGGTAAATCTGCATTTTTCCATAATGACATAGTGGATAAACACAAATATGATTCATGGCATTTGGTTTGTGCACACTCAGAAAGCAGGAGACCCGATATATGTTCTCCTTACTGCCCACTGAAACCTGTTCTTGATGGTCATACAACTTAGTATGAGATGCAGATAATGAATTCTGAAGTTACATAAAACTAAGAAAAATTTTAATCATGTTGTAAAGTCAAGTATTCAAATGTTAGAAAACTCCAGATTTACAGTTGCCCAGGCAACCTTAACTCTGCCCCCTTTTGTATTGAATGAGACAGGAATCCTATCGAAATAATAGCTGTGACTGAGTAATTAAAGCTCTATTACAGAGCACAAGGGAACAGAATTTAGGTTGTACAGAAATGTGGCATTTCTTTCTTATTTTTCAAACTAGCAATACTTTACAACTTAACTAACTTTCTTTTAATAATTAAAAGATAGCAATTTCCTCGATTCTCAAAGGAAGCAGCAAAACCAATTTATGATGCATACCTCAGGCAACTAGCTCTCCATGTGCTACCGTCATCACCAGCAGCACTTTTAACCTTGACTGTCCAGCACTGCCACTTGGGGAGTCAGTGCAAAACAAAACTGGAGGCTGGAAAAAGCTGCCAGCTGCCTGATGGGGATGAACCCCCTTGAGCAGCCATGGCTGCCTGCCTGCAGAGCACTCCCCTTCCTGGGGGAAGGGAAGGGCTGCTTGGTCCAGCTTAGCTCTCCTTGCCATGTAGCAGCTGTGAAAGCGGGGATGGAAGGAGGCAGCCAGTGGTGCAGAGTAGGAGCACAGCTTGCCTTTTTCCCCTACCCTACCATCTATTGCTTGAAGTACTCTGGTAGCTGGCAAACCCTGGCTGCTTTGACAGCCACACGGACTCAGCTGAAGGCCACTTAATTAATTCTTTTAGTTATTTTATATGTTACTGTCATTTTCTGTCACTTCCTGACATCTACTTGTTCTTGGACTCAGTTGTTATTTTGGATGGTGCAAAAAACGTTACAGAAAGCATGGGGAAAGAGGAAATTAGTGATTTTTACCAGTTAATTCAGCAAGACAACTGATACAGCATAATGGGGTGAAAGCAAAAGCAAAAGAAAATCCCCCCTTTCGAGCAAAAGTTTTCTGCCTGCCAAATAACAATGGCTTCTTCTGATCTTTGGAGACACAGGGCATTTCTTCCCAAAGGAAATTATTTGAAAGAATTTCTAGATAATGAATGACTGCTTCAGGTAGAGAAAGGCCTCCCAGGAACAAACAGGCCAACACTAACATAAATCATGAAAGCCAAAATCAGGCTTTGCTTCACTGACTTATCTCTCCAGCTGAGTGATATCAATGCTAAAACCATGAGGTTCTAAATGGAGCAAATCCCAGTGCTACTACTTTGGTCTGAAAATGTCTTGAGGGCTTTAATAATTGATTCTGTATTGGGTTGACAATACAAGTTTCACCTTATACTAGTTTTTACTGATTTCTGTTTCAGAATACAGTCAGAGTAATTGGACGTGCTTGTGGTGAGAGACCTAAACCAGGTCTGAAGGAACAGGCTCTGCTCCACATACTTCCTCAGGTGATCTCTGTCAAGTTGCTTCATTTCTCTGAATTTCAGTCCCTGATTGCCCAGTGAGATTTGGCAGTTGTATTTCTTTTAAGGGCATCCATATGTTATACACCTTGCATGGTTAGAGTGAATTATCCAGTGCAGGGATTCTCTTCTGCCACCTGTATTTGCAGTTTATGACGTGGACCCCAATCTTGGCTGAGACTGCTAGATGACAGTGGGATAGCAGCACTGAAAAATAAAGGAACGTTTGCCGAGGAGACATCCTGCCCAAGGAAATCACACAGCCAGAGCTCAGGGAAAGCAGCCGAAGACATGCAACATAGTGGAACCCTTTTTTACTTCAAGGCTGCACCACTTCAGCCTTAACATGAATGTGTTTGTCATTAGAGCACTCTATCAAGACGTATCATGGCATCTGGGAAAAAACATGTCTTGTCCTGCAAGAAAGGCTGAAATATAGAAACTATACTGCCCACAGGAGATTGGCACAGGCAGGAAACAAGAAATCTGCATGCCCGCATAGAAGTTCACAAAGTTTGCTGCTGCAACTGGTGCTTTCCCCTGAATTTGGACACTAGATCCACTGCAAGCTTTTGTCTCTGATGGACCCTTCTGGTGGACATGGGAAGTCTACCCCCGAGATCATCTCCACCACTGAAATAAAGCACTGCTGTGTAGCAAAGGCTTGTGAAGAAAACAGTAGGTTTTTACATTTATGCTTTCTGTTCCCTCTTCCATTCAATTTGTTTGCAGGACACAGAATGGGAAGCAAGAAGAAATAACAGATGTATTACAGGAATCACCGACCTACATATAACAACAGTAAAAGAGAAGCTTGCACCACTAGAAAGCCTCTTCTTCTTTAATATCCATTACTTAAACTGCTAGACCATATTTTGATATTCTACCGTATGGCCTATTTCAGCTGCAGCTGGGACTAAAATAAATTACACAGAGCATCCAGACGAATGAGAGCCTTGGTTCAGACCCTACCCCATTAGGTATACTAACCTGATCTGTGGGTGTGTAGTCATCCATGCTGACACTGTCAATTCTTTCTAAAAAGCTAGAAGAAAAACAAACATGCATTTAGATATGTAAAATACTGTCTAGTAGAAGGCTTTTCACTACCTTTTCTAGTTTAGACTCCCACTGTGAAGTAAAACACAACATGAATGGTAAAGTTATGAGCCTTGATGTTTTCCTTTATATTCCTTTAGGCTACATTTTATAAGCCAAATAAACATTTTACTCAGACTTGGTTTCACTACAGCACTTTTATACTTACCATTATATAGTACCCACATGCGGTCCAAAACACAGTTAAAATGTTATAATTTTGTGAGGTCCACTAAAAAATACTACGGCTAACCATATGCCATAACATCATATGGTTGTTAAAAGAGTTTTTTGGGTTTAAAACAGAAAATGCAGTGAAGGGGTGCCTTTATTTAGCATAATGTTAATCAAGTATAATGTTATGTTAATTATGGTCTCAGTAACGTTAGCAGAAATGCTTGTTAGCATATACAAATAGGTTTGGACTGACATGCTGCCCTCCAAGCAACAACTAAAGCATGAAGTGGAGAGCAAAACTGATAGGAAGTGGATGTTAATGAGTCTGACTCTTTATGTCACAAAAACTCAGTGAGATGCATAAATTGGAAGAAAAACTTACAACTGCCGAGAAGGGCAAGAGAAAAGAGAACCAGAGCAAAAGGGGGGAACTACATTCTATAATTAATTAAAATATTTTTTCCAAGCTTTAATTCTTTCCTAACACATGTTAGAATGGCCGCATTTAAGGACATAAAAGCATGATTTTATATTTATTGCTAAAACAGGTAGGTTCTCTTCTCTCACCTCCACCCATTTCTTAGATCTCATGTGAGCCCAGCTGGCTCATTTTCCTCATACTTAATACTTCCCTGTATCACTTAGGAGCTTTTTTGAATATCTGCACTGTTATTTAGTATTTGGCAGTGAATATCCCACCGGCTGACGCATCCCACTACAATACTATCAAGATTTCTTTATCAAAAGGCAGGTTTTCCACAACTTTACTTGAGTGTACACGTGGAACACATGCCACACTTAATTATGGTGGGAAAGGAAGAAAACCCCAGTGAACCCTTGACTTAAAATGTGACTCACTGTTAACACAGGGGTCACACACACTGACCAGTTGAAAAAAATACCCCCCTAAAAGCCTGTTCGTAATTCTCATAGCACTTTCCCACGAATATGAACTGAAAGGAAAAGAAAATACACTGCATATATATTTACTTTTACTACTTTTCCTTTTCAAACCTCCATTGTTATAGCAGGGAAACAAAATGCAGTATCTACAGTTAGAATATCCAGCTTTTCTTTCCAGATGATCAAGGTGTGGTGGCTAAGCATAATGTTTAAAAAAAAAAACAAAAAAAAATCTCTCATTAATGCAACACAATGGATGCCTCAGAACAAAACTATATGGAAGGAACTCTGAAGAAAAACCATCTTTTCACAAAACCTCCTCCCCTGTTAAAAGCCCCATGAACTTAATATAAGGATATAAAAGTACATCTTTATAGTCAAGTACAGTCACCATGGGAAAGAAGTTGCATTCAGACTGAACCTTTTGGTCAGATGATTCTCATCACCTTGAGAATACTGATTAAGCACAGTTTAACTTCAGTTATCCCCACAGCCAATGCAGATACCAGTGCAGAGTGATGCATTTTTCACTGGTGCACCTATCATTAACAGAACTCTCATCTCATGCTTGCAGCACAGGACATGAAAAAAGGAAGGCAAAAAAGCACAAAGAAAAATGCCTTCAAGCTGAAACTTCCTAAGCACAGAATAATTTTCCTCAGTGTATCTATACTTCTAAGTCCATTTCAAAGTACTGACTATGGCTGACACAGGGATCTAGTAAAGAGTGTTGCCTGAAGTCAGTGTTTGTGCACAAATACAACTCTATCACAAACCCTGCAAAGCAGTATGAACTGGTGTTTTTCTTGCAGAAGCAGACGGAGAGGTATAAATCAGAGACAATACATTTTGTCTCCACAATACCAGGAGAATGTTGGCAGAATTTAACCAAAATGCTATTTAGTGCTAACTCACACCTCTCTCACCTATACAACAAGTATTTCAGGAAGGTTATTGGTTGTTAGCACTTGCACGTTCCAAATAGGTGAATTATGGTAAGGAACAGAGAAGTGAGGACTAATGCAGAGTCACATTACAGACAATCCATGGCAGGTTTGGGAAAGACATGAGTCTCATAATTAGATGTCCTACCTATCAGCTAAAGTTGTCTTTCACTTAGAAATCATCCATTTCCTCCCAGTAAAAGGATCAGTTTCAAATACCATAAACTGCCACATTGCAGGTAAGAGAGAGCTGGCTCTGACAAATGTCATGCACTTATAAAAATGTCATTTAGCATAGCAGCTGTAATGTTTTATACTTATAAGGTCGCTATCCACATGTAATCTATATTAAAAAAAATTCAATGACTTACAAGGTCTTATCTGCCAACTGTATCAAGCTGGAATGATATCACTAGCATCCAATCAATCAGCATGCAGCTGCTATTAGGATTTGGATAAATTTTGTAGCTTTACAGAAAACTAGCCTTTTCAGTGTGTGAGGACAGGCTTCCCAAGATTTGTTTTGTCACTACATTAAGCGTTCACTGAGACTTCTAACGCTGAAACAAAGACAGCTAAAGTCTTACCTTTTCAAAAGAAAATCAGTTCTCGAATATCCTTCATATGAACTCCTTACTTGGCTAATTAGCACAGCATCAAAAAGTAGATCTGACAGGCAAATGTACATGGTAGGTACAAGTAATGGATTCTAGGTGAGATAAGGAGTCAGTACTGCCTCATTTCTAAATACACTAACTTCATTCTCATTACTGTATTAAAATGGTAAAACTGGAATCACTTTTCTAAATTGCTTTCCAAAGAATGTTAATTTCTACTAATCCTAAATGTTTTGAATAGTTACGTTCTGGCAAAATATACATTCTTTTATACATATATATAAATTTACGCATCGGCAAATTTTGAATTTATGTGATTAAAATTTCAATTCAGAGAGCTTTAAGTACAAAGATATCTCCCAGTTGTGGCAGTGCTCATGTCTCCACTCAAAGAATCAGTGTGAGGGAAACAAAATAGCAGAAGAATGAACAAAAATGGACACCAAGTATCACTTATCATCTCTTTTTAGATACTTTTTTTTTTTAATCCCCAGTTCAGGGATATAATTATTTTCACAGAATTACGCCTTTTTATAATCCTGACAGGTCTTCTATTTATGCAGCTTCTATAGAAACCCATACTCAGGATACATGTTAATTCTGCAGTAACTGTTTTGCATGCATGTGCAATAAACTTCATACTCATGCATTGAACCCAACAGTGAATAATAACATAGCATATTATACAATATTTATATTTCTACTTTACAATTGTGGTTTTACTTATAAACAATTCAGTCTGATAATTAGTGTAACATTTCGGTTCTTCTTAGTTTTACAGTAGAGTGTTTTACATTTCCTTGCATGGAACAGCAGAAACTACCCTTTTAAAAAAATAAATAAATTAGGTGAGGTACTGGAAGGAAGGTCTCCATCACTCTGGAAATGCAGTGGTTTGGTTTGGTTTGCCAACAAATTAAAAGGACCAATAAAGTTAAAAAAACATAAGCTACTGACATTATTATATCTATTATTAAGCTGATCTGAAGTTTTATAAATATCTTCTGTGAGTTTCCTAGGAAACTCAGCTGACACTTAGTTTGACAAGCAATCTCTAAATTTTACATTATGCAAGCTGTGAACACAAAAGTACAGGTTTTAGATGTGCCTGCCAGTGCATGTGGGAACTATCAATAAGTATTATTCTCTTTAAAAACCATGGCAATTTGAGCAGCAGTAGCAGCTATAAAAGAAATTCTGAAAAAAGGATTCATAAATGCACAAATAAAGAGGAGGTAATAATACATGAAAATCCTTACCTCACTGAATAAATCACTACACAGCTCTGTACAAATATTCTGACCCCACAAATGACAAATAAAAGAAAAATTGTGTCTTGAGAATAACATGACAGACAGAAAACCCATGCTATATTTGTAAATGTATTTTGACATCCACAGAATTGGAAAGATGAAGTGCTAAACCACAGATCAACGCAACAAACTAGGTATTTTAATAAATCTTTGTCTGCTTCAACCATCTTTAATGCTCCCACCCCAACACTTCAACGGTCTTGTATCAAAAAGTTGCCATGAAAAACAAGAAATTGAACCCATGTCAAAATGCTTGTTTCTTTAAGAGAAAAAGGGAATGTGGCAAATCTTTAAGGTTTTAAGTTCTCAGAATAAAGAATCTCAAAATTATCTTTGAGTAAGTTGCTGGGGTCTGCAAACCTTTACAATTCAGATGGACCATGAAGAGCTTTGCAAAGTCCTCAGCCAGGCTCAAACCCTATATACACACACACACACATGCACACATTAAACCAGCCAGGACTAAGACTTTTAATTCCACTCTCCCTGGATTGCAGGAAGTCACAGGTGAGGCACACATTTCACAAGGGAAACACCTACCCCAAGTCTTTAGGGAGCTGAAATGCAAAAAATCCCCCTTTTTTAATAGTTTCTGCTGCAGTTCTCAGAGACAACATCAATATTTGAACATTCCCCCCCTTTTTTTCCCCATAAAATACCTTATTTATTTTTTAATCGGCTAAGGAATTATAATCCAGTTAATTCTTCCTGTAACATTTGAAATAGGAAACTACGGATTTCTGGTTTCAAGAATACCTTAGGCTCCAAGCAAACTCACATGATTTTGATATATTTCTTGGCAATATAAAACATAAAGAAAGACATAATGAAAAAAAGCCCCCAGTAATATTCTAACCCCTAAAGGATTCATTTTCTCAAGTCATTTGCTGAAAATATCAGCAGAAATTCCTCAGAAGACTTGGCAAAACTTAGCGGCTAGGGATTTTCCTGCCAAATTTAAATCACTACTCTATTTTAAATACAACTTCCATG